GCATTTTAAAAAAAAGTCTCTAGGTTTTAACAAGAAAAATTTATTTAGTTCTATTTTGTTAATTTACTGCTTTTTTTTTTTTTTTTTGAATTGGAGTCTCACTTTGTCACCCAGACTGGAGTGCAGTAGCTGCTCCCGGCCACCGCAGCCTCAGCCTGCTGGGCTCTGGCGATCCTTCCGCCTCAGTCTTCCAAGTAGCTGGAGCTACAGACGCGTGCTACCACGCCTGGCTAATTTTTGATTATTGTAGAGATGAGTCTCACCAAGTTGCCCAGGCGGGTCTCGAACCCGCGGGCTCAGGCAATCCACTCACCTCGGCCTCCCAAAGGCACGGCATTACAGGCTGAGCCACCGAGCCCAGCAATTTAGTGCTTTCTTTTCATCCTGATTTCTTAATGCTGATTAAGGTGTTGAATTTTTGTTTAATCTGTATTTTCCCTCTAGTCCTTTTTTCTCTTCAGCTGGGTTAGAAGTTATACATGCCGCTACTTTAGCGGTTGAAATTTTACACTGCATACTTATCTTAAAGTCTTAACTCTATTTATTGACATCTTAATTATATCTTAACTACAAAAGAAAACTTAGTATTTAACTTTTATCATCCACTTCTTGACTTACTTTTGTTGAGAGATGTTATTTTACATGTTTAGATTCATCTGCAAGTTTACAATTTTTTTGTTCATTTCTTCTCATATCTCAGACTTTCTGTGGTAATTTTACTTTCTTTTCCTTTTTCTTCATTTTAAAAAATTTTCTTCTTTTATAATTTTTCTTTCTGAAGTATATCCTTTAGAAATTCCTTTAGAAAGTATAGGCAGATGCTAAATTCAGTTTCTGTGTATCTGGAAATGATTTTATCATTATTATTTTTTAATGGGGTGGAATTGTTTTATTTCTATCATTTTGCAAGCTTCTGTGAAATCTATGTATAACGGTTCACAAGATTTCTGTATCACACACACAGCAACTCAGAGCATGCCTCGTGGCTGGGTGTGACTCCAGGCGTGCTCCTAAAAGATGAAAGGGTCTCGACCAACTGCATGGGGTGCTGCATGCTTGGTGTTGCCAAGTGCACGGGTCCAGGTGATACAGCATCGCTACAGCTCGACACGGCCCCCCGGAAATGATTTTATTTCTATACTTCACCCTCATTCTTGAAAGATAATTTTGCTGGGTCCCCAGCTGTAGGTTGGTGACTGCTTTCTGTCAGCATTCTGAAGGTTTGAATCCACTGTCTTTCTGACTTCCATTGTTCTGCTGAGGAAATCTGTTGTTAGCTTTCTTTGCAGGTAATTAAAAAGACCCAGGACTTGACCCAACTCTGCCACTTACTGTTAGATCATCTTAGCATACCACTTTATTTTTATTTATTTATTTTTGAGTTGGAGTCTCACTCTGTCGCCCAGGCTGGAGTTCAGTGGCACACTTATGGCTACCCTAGCATCGACCAGCTGGGCTCCTGTGATCCCTCCACTTCAGCCTTCCAAGTAGCCAGAACTACAGGTCCCTACTACCATGCCTGGCTAATTTTTTATTTATTGTAGAGATGAGGTCTTACCAAGTTGTCTGGGCTGGTCTTGAACCCATGGGCTCAGGCAATCCACTCACCTTAGCCTCCCAAAGTGCTGGGATTACAGGATGAGCCACTGAACCCAGCCAGCATGCCACTTTAATTCCTTAGGCCTCAGTCCTTCTTCAGCCAAGTAGAGAGAACACCAACCTCACAGCTTTGTTGAAGACATTCAGACAGATAACATACATGAAAACACTATATAAATGCTCATCATTATTCACATTTGGTGGCTCATCTCCGTATTGTATTGCCATCTTGCTCACTTCTCCCTATCACTGGAAGTAACTGAAATGGGGCAAATGGGTCAGAGCAAGAAAGTCATAGCCAAAGTTAGAAATAAAAACTCAAGGTTTCTTCTGAGGAGTTAGATTTCTGCAATAGGAATCTTATTGTCAGTATAGCTTTTCTATTAATTTTTATTATAAAGATGTGGGGTACAATTCAGGGTTAGGTATATAAACATTGATCATACAGATACCCTTGTTGATGAGGTATACCCCTCTCTCCCATAGCAGTTTCCCTCAACTGCCAATCCCACCCCCTTCTCCCTTGACAGTTTCCCACTACTGCCAATCGCTTTCTTATAGCATTATAATTGTTCAAGGTGCACTTATGATTGAGAGCATATGGAACTCTGTTCTTTGTTTCAGCCAACAGACACATGAAATAGTGCTCAGTCTCACTCATCATCAGAGAAATGCAAATCAAAACCAGACTGAGATACCACCTAACCCCTGTAAGAATGGCCATCATTAATTAAACAAACAACAACAGATGCTGGCGAGGATGTGGAGAAAAAGGAACGCTTCTGCACTGCTGGGAGGAATGCAAATGAGTACAACCTCTTTGGAAGACAGTGTGGTGATTTCTGAAAGAACTAGAAATTGACCTTCCATATGACCCAGTAATTCCCCTATTGGAAATATACCTGGAGGAACTCAAATTATTCTACAAAAAAGATACCTGCACACGAATGTTTGTTGCAGCCCTATTCACAATAGCAAAAATCTATGTATAACGGTTCACAAGATTTCTATATCACACACACAGCAACAACCAACCGTGTGGCCCATCGAAGCTGGACTGGATTCAAAAAATGTTGTACATATACACAGTACAGCTTTTCTATTCCATCCCTGCTGCCACTGCCTCCTTAATTTCTCATTATCTCTTGCCTGGATTATTGCATCATTTGCATTTCTCCCTTCAGGCTCTTTGGCCTCTAATTCACCCTTCTCAGAGTCATCATTCTAAAATGTAAATACGATTACCTCCCTGATTAATATCTAATGGCAAGTCCTAGACTGGGTTGAGTATATAGTCTATGTGTTCCCAGAATAGTCTCTGTCACCAAAGTGGCAGAGGGATTACCAGACAGTGGTGTTTACATCAGACCATTCAGGTACACATCCCGGTCTAGCTAACAACTGTATGACTTCAGAGCTCACTGTTCAACACAGAAAGCTGTAAACAGTTCATAGTGTTGTGAATGCATGCAGTGCATTGCACCTACATGCTCAGTAAATGCTACTTATTATTGTTAGTTTATTAATTGTAATTGTCCCTGTAATAAACTGTAAGATAAGCACAATATATGTTAATTATTATTATTGGGGATGATGTTGTAATTGTTTATTTCTCAGTCTCTATTATGCCTCCAATAACTCTGGGATAGAAATTGCCTTACTCTTCTTTGCTTACCTAGAGGATCACATACTATATGGCACTCAATTAATGTAGGAATTGAGCCACAGGCAGAACCAAGAAGCGGGCTGTTGCTTTTGCCTTAGATTGAAGTAAGTTACGTTAGCTGAACTGTTTCAGTGAGTCAAGAGTTTGTACACACTTTCAGGCAAGGTGACACAACTCTGGCTTTTCAGATGTTTCTCCAGGGCAAAATAGCTGAAGATACCCTACACACACAAACACACACACACAATACCCTACACACACACACACACACACACACACACCCCAGCCAAAAACGAAAGGTTAAGGGCATCACACACACACACACACACACACACACACACACCAGCCAAAAACGAAAAGCTAAGGGCATCACACACACACACACACACACACACACACACACACACACACACCCCAGCCAAAAACGAAAGGCTAAGGGCATCACACACACACACACACACCCCAGCCAAAAACGAAAGGCTAAGGGCATCACACACACACACACACACACACACACACACACACACACACACCCCCCCCCAGCCAAAAACGAAAGGCTAAGGGCATCACACACACACACACACACACACACACACACACCCCAGCCAAAAACGAAAGGCTAGGGGTATCACACACACACACACACCCCAGCCAAAAACGAAAGGCTAAGGGCATCTCACACACACACACACACACACACACACACACACCCCAGCCAAAAACGAAAGGCTAAGGGCATCAAAACCCCAGAGCGCGCACACACCTTAGAGGGGCAGGCTGCAGAGAAGGCAAACCCGACCAGAGAGAAGTGGTCAGTGCATTGCAGGGTCCGGACCTTTCTTACATCTTCAGCTCTAAGAGTCTGCAGTTGGGGTATGCCAGGATTCTCGAGAAAAAGAGGATTTGGCTCCTGGACTAAACTGTGACTTTTTTTCTCTTGTCCAAATTCCTTACTAAAAAGGTAAGGATTTTCCATACAGGGTTTTATTACCCCACTGTCTTCTACGCTGAAGTATGTTTTCAATCTGACTGGCAGTTACATCACACGAGTGATAGAAAAGGAAATCAGAATACTTTATGACCCCGCAAAACCATCATCTGGGGACTCCCAGGCTTCCAGCACCTTGCCTCTACTGATTTCCAAAATTCCTCAGGTAGGAACTACAAACTAACTGGCAAGAAATCCTTAATTTCACCTATCACCTGCAAGCCCCCGCTTGAAAATGTCCCTCTTTCTCGGGACAAACCAGTGAAAAGCCGACACGTCTTGATCTGTGCTTTTGGTAACTTCTGCCTCCCTAAGATGCACATCGCCAAGCTGCAATTCAGCCACCCGCACGCGTCCTGGGGACCTACTGGGCACGGACGTCCGGGGGGCCACTCCTATTGGCCAGAAGAAACCACCTGAAAATGTTTCACAGCGTTTGGTATCTTTTCGTCGAGCCGAAGAGAAGGTTTTCAGCAGCCTGCAGATTTTGCTGTGTTCAGGGCACAAGACTTCAGGGCCTCACCTACGGTGCTCCACTGCATCCCAGTTCCCGCCAGCCAAAAGTCGCAAAGAACGAGCCGCGCGCATGCGCACTGGCTGCGGGTCGTGAAGCCGCTGGGTTCACTTCCGCGGAACCGGCTTCCGGGAGGCACCGCCTCTTCCGCCTCCGCTGAGGGCCTTGGAGACCCGGACGGCGACCAGAGTTTTGGAGCTGCGGGCCGGAAGCTGCTGTCTCCGCTCGTTCCTCCCGCTGAGGCGGAGACTTTGTCGCGGCGGGCCAGGCCCCCGGGCGCCCGCCATGGCGGGGCAGCGGGTGGAGGTCGATGGCGGGATCCTGGAAGGGGTGAGTGCGGGACCGGGGCGGCGGGGCTGCAGCCCGGCCCGAGGACGAGCGCTTTCTGGACTGATACTTCTTGCTCTTCTCCCCGCACCCCCGCCGTCTGCAGGGCGGCCAGATCCTAAGAGTCTCCACGGCTCTGAGCTGCCTCCTGGGCCTCCCCCTGCGGGTGCAGAAGATCCGGGCTGGCCGCAGCACGCCCGGCCTGAGGTAAGTCGGGGAGCTTGGGGGTGTGGGCCGGGGGACTG